ATTAAGGGACAATACTAGTGTGACGCACGAAAAATTAGGCGTAAGCATGAACAATTAAGAGAAAGTATGAGATTGAATATTTCTAACTTCTCCGAACGTAAGGTATGTTTTCAGCCATATTTGAAGATTTTTTTTACAAAAATTTTGAAAAATAACTAAGTTATGGGCTGTTTCGGAGGTGCCAAAAAAAATTGCCCCAACTGTTTAAATGATTCCGGCCGAATGAGTAGCTGAAATGAATTTTTTCGCTTAAAAAGAAGGATAGAAATGGAGAGAAATTGGTTCAGTCCGAGGCTTTTCAACACGAAGTCAAAAAAGAATATGTTAAAAGTTACTAAGAAAGTTCGACAATTACATTCTACAAGTACGGACAAAATTATATTTTAAACATTTCTATCTGCGTAATTAAAATACATACATAATACATAAGTTTCTTTTGTAATTACAAAAGTTTTTTAAGTTCATTAATGTATATTTATTTTAAATATTTTTTAATTTCCAAACAAAAGTTTGGTAATACCTTGTAATACCTTTTGCTACTAGCGACACAACACAATTATTCCCGCATTTTTGTGTTTTTGCCAACCACAAAATAAACTGTAAGCACCCTGGTAACTTTTACTCGTAAGCAGCTTACACGCGAAGTGAAATGTCTCCAGGAAGAACTCAGGGTGAGGGAGGGAAGAAATAAAATATGTATGTACATACATACATACATAACTGTATTTGCCAACCTAAATCACCACATTTTTACTGAGGCTTCTTTTTCTGTAATTTTTACTTCTTATTAAGAAATTGAACAAGCTGTTGTCTTCAGTTTATATTTGAACAATTTTAATTTTTTGAGTATAACGTGATGATAGGACTGCGAATCATAAATTTTAAAAGAGTTTATTCGACCAAGTATTATCGTAGTTTGAGTCATATTCTCCAGTAGTATATTTACTCGATGAAAGTGAAATAAATATTCAGGTTCAACCTTGATTCCAATCAAAATAATTTATGTGTTCTTTCGTCTTCAGTGCTAAAGCTTCCAATACATTTTTGCAATCTTGGTTTCATGAGTAAATGTTTTAGGCGGCTTGAAAAGTAGTAATTGATTAAAAGTGATCTCATGGCAATTATCTGAAAAAAGGTTCTATTGACGAACAAAGTTCTGTATATTTGAAAATATTTGATAATTAAAAATATATTAATTTTTTCTAAAAATCTAGATTTTATTTAGAATTTTAAACAGTTGTATAAAAAGTTGCTCATTTGTCGGAGCCGCCGATTTGGACCACTTTATCATATACCTGAAGCTGTTCTTGTAAGGTATCTTTTGTATTTGTGAAGAGTATATAGTTTCGGTTGAGCGGATGTTAACTTTTCCTCTTGTTCTTCTCTCCTCAGATACGATTCTTAAAGTCTAAATTTCTTTTTTTTGTGCAGATGGTGCTTCTGTGTAGGTAGTAGTTCTAAATATAAATATTGTTTTTATTCTGATTGAAGTACTACATTTCGGTGGACACAGCAGTTGCTTGCTATTTAACGAATATAATTTGATAAACAATTGCCTCAATTATGATGTTCTTTCTTTTGTAAAAAATGGGATTCATGTGGGTAGAAGTGCTGGTAGATTTCTGGGATTCAACAACTGATCAATAACCTTTGTAAACAGAGAGTAGTAACTAAAACAATACAGGAGTTTATGTTTGTCAATTGAACTGCTTGTAAGACAAAAAGTTTTGAGCAAAATTACTTCATGGAGTAAATTTTCAACGAATAAATATACTGAGAGAATAATGAGTTCCTAAAAACCAATGTTGATGGTTAGGTGATCGAAAACATTTCGACTCGCAACAGTTAGGTTTGCGTAGATAGATAGAACAAAATTGAGCCTTGCATTGCAACCTATGGTATATTCTGCCCTCTCCTATATCATATATGGTCACAAAGGTCAAGCACTCTGAACAATTTCAAGAGCTTGCTGGGCGCCACTGAGGTGATGTCATCGCTGCCCATGTAGATGGAGATTATTGCCTTGAGCCTATTTCTACAAATTGCTGGGCAATCTAGAATCAGGTGTAATTAAGTTTCCTGTCCATGACGCAAAACCTGTGGCGATATTGTTATAGTTTTTTTTTAAATAACTTAAACAATTCTTTTCGTTCGTTAATTTTCAGATATTTACGGACCTTAATTTTTTTTACCGTTTTATTATTAATCATAAGCGCAGAATGAATTATCGTTAAAAACTTGTCTTTTTGTTCGTTTTTTTTTTAATTTTTCTTTTTCCGCTCAGAGTTGCCTCCTTCACTTTGTTGTAAGTTTGCAATTTTCTTCGGATAAAATCATTGACTGACATGTTTTCGCTTTACCTTCCATACTTTAAATCCTTTTCCAATCAACTCCTCGGGCAGATCCTTTTGTTTGTTAGCAAAGTTTGCGAGGAAAGTTTTCTGCTAATGACACTCATTAAGATGCCAGCGTTTTCAATGAGAAAGAAGCGGAAATTTACTTCAATAAGTGTCATCATACTTGCAACTTTGCCACACCGAAATGAGCAACACACGCACGAAGGAAAATGGGGGCAACAGCCATGACAATGCCGTTACAAATTGACAAACGCTGACTTTCAATAGCAAATTAAAAGTAAATTTTAAACACTCGCACACATGCATACAAACACATTTTCATACTAATTCACAGTTCACTGGTTATGATGCACATGGTTCAATCTATCTACTTAAGTATATGTGCGTATATGTATATGTGTGAGTGCGTGAAATACTTAAAAGTTATTTGGGACGACACTTGCCCGCACTCGAATTAGGTCAACGGTAAATTTGGCAAAGTTTTTGGCATTTAAGGTGAAAGCGGGCGCGCATGCTGCAGCCGAGCGTACAAAAACACTGTAAGCAGCACAATATATGTAAATACATGCAGCTGGCAGTTTAGTTCAAAACAAAAACCAATCTATGCGGGCACTTAAATAAAGGGCCCCGTTGGAAAAATCAAAAGTGATCAAATTATTTTAATTAAATATAGTACCCTTCACAGATTTACACCTTATGCACAAAAAGGAATTAAAAAGATGTTTACCTTAGTTTTGATCGGTATGTTAGAATGGCAGCTATATGCTATACTGGCCCGATCTGATTAATTTATTCAGAGATAATGACACACAAGTGTCTCATACAATAACAGGATTTGCTTCTTAGGGAGAAAACGACGGGTGTCAAATGTCAAATCGATATCTCGAAAACTGAGAGACTTCCTCTCTTCTTTATTGACGTAGACACCGCTTACACGGTTACATACGAGTATACAACACTGCTTCCTGTGTAGCCAGGTCCTTCTCCACCTCGCCTTTCCAACGAAATGGAGACGTCGTGTACATTCAGAGTTGGAGTGTTTTCGTCCATTAGAATGACATGTCCTAGCCAGTGTGGCCGCAGCTCATCGTTCCATAGATTGCGGTAATCGCCGTTGCCTATGCGCAAAGGAGCATACTTCTTCCGCAGAACCTTTACTGTAGTTGACTATAACGTCACAATCAAAGGGGAACACTATAAAGTCTTATAGAAGCATTTCTTGTGTCTGAATTAAAGGATGTTGATGTGAACGACCTTTGGTTCCAACCAAATAGCGCTATATACTAGGTAGGTATTTTTTAGAGAATAAAGTTCGTTACAGTGTTCGGGAATCGTTTGTCAAGGTAGCTATTAGATTGATTTAACGAAACGATACAAACTTCAAAAGTTTTTAATAAAAACTTTAAATAATACGAAACTTTAATTGTATATATACTTTTATATTTCCTTAATGTACCGCCTTCCTTAGATATTAATCAAAACCTTTTTTTAAATTTTATTTAACCTATTCGAACGACAAATCGGCAAATGTAGTTTAAATCAGTTCATCTTGAACAATAGTGATGAGGTGATTCGATGTAGCCATATCCCTCAGTCTGTGCGTCCGTCCGTCTGTCAGCCTGTACATACATGAACTAGTAACCCAGTTTTTGGGCTACCGATTCGAATTTTCTTAAACCCAAGAAGCAGCTCATTTATCGGAACCTCCATACAAACTTAACGGTTAAAATCGAGATATTGTAGGAAACCTTTTTGCTCTAACAAGATTTCCCCTCAAAATTTACCTATATCAATTAAATGCCATACAAAAGAACTGATAAAAATGAAATTTTTGGTTAGAATCTTTTGTATTTGGAAAGAGTATTATAGCTTTGGTGCAACGGAAGATAACGTTTCTCTTTGTTTTACAATTTTTTTAAACAATCTAATGCATACTTGTTTTGAAACTTCATGGATGGTTTTTAGGAGACTAATTGAGCAATTTTCTTTTATAAATGTGTTCTTTTATTTCTTTTATCTCAAACTCGAAGTAGCGACTGGTTTGTGAATCCGAAACCAACTACTACCGACTCTCGACCCACAAAACTTATCAATTAAAGAGTTTCGAGAGTAATTCAGCCCACATGCTTTCATCTAAAATACCAAATTATATGCAAATCATATGTGAAAGCATGTGTAGCTTCGCCCGCATATGTTACCTTATACAAATATAAAAGTTTAAGATTACCTATGTATTAGTGTATCTATATACATACATATGTGTGGTTGTGCTACGGTAGCAAACGATACATCCAGCTGGCAGTATCAGCATAACATTTTCAATTTGCGCACAACGCACACCGGAACTGCAAAATTCGCAACACATTATTACATATTTAAATATCATGCCAATTTGGATTGCTAAAGTTTTCTCCACTCTCGAATTGTTTCCATTTAGCAAACAAAACGCCTTTCACTGCCACCGCTTTCAGTTGCTGAATTAAACTTTGTTGTTTCTATTCTGGTTGTTACTTGTTATTGCTTTTGTGGTTGTTTTATCAAAGTGGGCGTATTTGTTTTGGTATTTGTGTGTGGTTTTTGCAGTTGTTACAAATCATCTCTGAATTGCCTTTAAATTGGATGCTTGCAAATGTTTTCACTTACTTGTTTATGCCGCTGCGGTTGTGCTCACACACGCATCAACAGACTTCACTTTGCCTATTCATTTAATTTGTAGATAATTCTGTTAATTAATGTAGCATTTTCTGAAATTGACAGAAAGTTGTAATTTATTTACTGCCGAGGCGTAATTTGAATAACGAAATTTGAAGATAAGCGTTTAATAATGATAGTGAAACGATAAATGCTGGCAAAATAAACATATATTTATGTCATAAATTACCTACTATGTTAATTTTGTTAACTAAAGTGTAATTGTAGAAGCATTAAACAAAATATTAGAGGATTTACACTAACTAAAATATTTTGAATAGTCATATAAACGCATACTACGACGATACCCAAATGTATGCCGGGGCGTATGAATAACATAATATTCCCTTTTGTGTACTAAAGAGGCCGAATAGACTAGTCTAGGATTTTGAAAAAAATCTATTATTGTTTTTGGCTAATACACACTTAAGGGTCCTAAAAATATAATTCATTTGGTAGAATCGATAAATAAAGTATTTTTTGTTCAATCCGCAACAAGATTCTAATTTAATCTTTTAATACCCTGAACTGGATAATCTAGATCGTAGACCAAAGAAAGTATGAATATAAATAAAAAGAGTGCCAAGCTGAGTCGATTTAGGGATAGCGATTTATTGAACCAGACAGACGGACAGACGTCTCATTTTGGAGATATTATGCTGAAATTTCGCATGCGTCCCTATATTCATAAGAAGCTGCTTTGTCGGCACCTCCGATACCGGATCTCTATAGCAAATAGCTGCCATACAAAGCGAACGTCAAAATCAATTTTTTTATGGGGGGGAAATTTAAGGATTTTGATTTGAACGACCTTTGGTTCCAACCAAATAGCGCTATATGCTACTCAACAAGGCAATCAATTTATTGATGATAACTTTTGATGAGCACGCATCATAAGCCTGCGGTTTCGCCTCCTTAAACGGATTTAACGCGCCTAGACTACTTTTAGATGGTATTTTCCAACGTTTCTTTCTGTGTGCCACAAAATTCATCGCAAGCTCAATATACCCTGTTCAGGGTATAATTATGAGCATTAACGAACTGAAGCTATTTTTTATTTTTACGATAGTATTTCTCGTCAAGTCTTGGTCCTTATCAAAGTATTTCCCATAGAAACATTTTCTAAAGATCGTGGTTGGAAAATAAGCTTTACGGAGCCCTAAATTATTAAAAATATATTATTGGACTTCGTATCAGGTCGCAGGTGGTTTTTCTGTAGTCACAGATATTCTGCTTGAAATTCATTCTAACCAAAAGAAAAAAAAATGATTTTAGCTGGCTCCGATGGCCTTTAGCGAAGCTCTTTTCGGTATTCGGGAATCGGATGTCACGGTCGTTGTTATGTGAAAAGAAGTCATGGCTTTCGGCCGATTTCGCCCGGCAAACAACCAGAGGATTACAGTCCATAATTTGCGATGGTATAGCATTAGAACTTTCGGGAAATATTTACATTTTAATTTAATATTAAGCCTATAAGAAGACGGAATACTCCATCATTCACTTTGTAAACAAGGGGGAGATACCTTTTCCTAAAGTTTACCACATGAAATTTGATTTATATTTATAAAACTTTATACGTTTTCACTTAACGACATTTTGTAAAATGTTTCTAAACCTGAAAAAGTAATTTTCCGCGCAATAATTTGAGCCCAATTAGAATATCGCCACCACGGAAACCTAATTTGCCGATCTGCAGAAAATGAAAATTTCGTGCGAGTTGGAGAATCGCTGGGTATTTAACGCATTATCGAGCTAAAATGAGAATATTTTTTAGAAATAAATCGTTATTTTTCCACAACTTTAGTTTTGTCTTTGTATTCTTAACAACTATTGCACCACCTTCACGTTTGTCTAAAGAAAACAGAAAGTCTTTAAATATGAATCGGAAAAGCGGTATTCACCTTATCAGTTTTAACTTTTCAGGCAAAAACAATGAGTATTAATAAATATATTTACGGGAAAGAGTCTTCAGCAAATATTGAATAACAGATTTCAATGAAAACAATGTCACAACTGCAGCGGAGACAAAGATAATGCGACTTGCATACAAAGTAAGCTCATACGCAAACACGGCGGCGCTCCGATAGGGCGAAGCGGATGTAGCGGAAGTGCGTATTACAGTTATTATGAAGCTATTACGTTGGATTATGGAGCTTATACAAACAGATAAAATGGAGTAATGAAAAAAATGGAAATGAGCAAAATAACGGAATAATAAAATGAATAAAACCAAAATAAACAAACCGACAAGGTAGACTCGACGCGACGTGGCAACAGCGCGCAGAAGGCAGGAAAGGACCAAAACGGCAAAGAAAAGCAAAGCCAGCGATAAACCCGAAATAAAAGTTTAGCCGGCAAGGGACTCCACCTAATGTGTGGTAGAACGCTTAGTGAAATTTGATCGTTTCGACGCAGTTTATTATAGTGCTTGCCCTACGCGTCTAAGAGCATGCTGTAGTTTTGTGTTTTTACAGTTTTTTTTGCTGCGGCTTGTGACCGCCATCATCCTTGATGGCATATTTTGATGAAATAGTTTTTGTTATGTTCTCTTTCCTCGATGCCATCCTTATTATGCGTTCAATCTCAAATTTAATCGCCGCAGCGGCGTAAATATGATGAACTCGAAGCGTCTGAGTTTTTGTATGTAAGAATGGAGGCATATGCTTTCATACATTTTGACATAAAAACAAGTACGTGTTATGGAAAAATTGCTCTTAAATATAAATCACCGTCTGCCACAAGTGATTAAGATAAATTAACCATGAACGTAAATTGAGAAAGTTGTTGGTTTAAGGCGCTAGGTGGCATGCTGAGTAATACCTAATTGCAGGATGTCGATTAAGTAGAGCTTAAAGTTTTTTTAGAGTGAAAGATACAAGAAAAATATTGGGTTGGGAAGTGGTGTGATAATACAATATTGATTCAAAAAGTACTACCAAGATTAGGCTAGAACTAAAACAACAGTAAATGTATTTGTTAAGACTGAATATTGTCTGTGTAATACTTTAGTAAGTCTTTGAATTTTCCTCAATATGATATTCATCTGAAGGTTAATCCTTAATGATACTAGAGATTCCTTTTACTTCAATTAATATACTCAAAAGTTATACAGTTGTGTGTTTGAAGATTGGAGATATTTCGTCTTGCCTTCGTTCACTACCAGACCCATTTGCTTTGCTTCCCTATCTATTATGGAGAAAGCAGAACTAATATCATCGGCGTACACCAGCAGCTGTACACTTTTATAGAAAATTGTACCTTCTGTATTTAGCTCTGAAACTCGTATTATTTTCGCCAACAATAGATTGAAGAAGTCACGCGATAGGGAGTTGCCTTATCTGAAACTGTTCGGAGCGGTATTGCTCAACGTCAGTTTACACGACCGTTCTAGTTTTGCGGGCATACCAAATTAAGCCATAGCGGCACAAATGCAGCTTCTTTTCGTGCTGTCAAAATCTGCTTTTAAATGGACGAAGAAGTGGTGTGGGTCGATCCTCTTTTCACATGTATTTTCCAAGATTTGGCGCATGGTGAATATCTAATGAATTGTTGATTTTCCAGGCCCAAAGCCACACTGATAAGGTCCAAACAGTTTGTCACGGTGGGCTTTAATCTTTCACATACTATGCTCAATAGAACCTTATATACGGAGGTTTATTTCCACCACCGGTTTCCCTTTTTGTGAATTGGAGAGCACACTTAAATTCCAATCCTCGGGTATGCTTTCGTTCGATCATATTTCACAAAGAAGCTGATGCATGTTCGGTCCTTCGCCGCCGTATTTGAATAGCTCTGCCGGCAATACATCGGCCCCTGCCACTTTGTTGTCTCCAAGACGGCTAATTGCTATTCGAACTTCTTCATAGTCAAACAATGGAACCACCGCTTCATCGTCGTCGATTGGAGAATCAGCTTCACAAATCTCCTGGTGTTTTGCTTTCACTGCAATTCAGCAGGTTGGAGAAGTGTTCCTTTCATATTTTGAGTATGTTCTGGACATCAGTCTCTGGATCACCACTGGGGATTCTACAAGAGTAAGAATTCTAGTACTCACTCATTTTGGCCTCTCTCCAACTCTTGGTATCTGTCTCATCCGGCGGGTGCGTATATTCGCTGCAACTAGATACTGTTCCGACTCATGCTGGGACGTCGGAACGCCCCCACGTCGAAAACACTGGGGATATGTCTTCCGTTTATCAAACCACCTGGTTGTTAGATTTTCAAACCGGAGGCAACCAGATAGCTTGATAAATTTTCCTATGTTGTAATCTAGTACTACAGGTAACCATATTTTGAGCCCCGGCGAAATCGATTAGCCCCAACTCATTTGGATATGTTTCATCAAGGAGGCTTAATTTACTGACCGTTGTGCCAAAGATACCTTCTCACAGGTCCGCTCTAAGCGCGCTTAGAAAACATTTTTGGACACATCGTTCTTCGCTTCCGTCCGGGAGAAATATTCGAGATTATATTCTTTCCCCAGCTTGGAATTTCAAGATCCATTTATTCTGAAAATACTTTTCATAAATCGTCATCCAACGAAAGCTTTCATGATTAATCGTATAGAAAATCTAAGTAGTGGGAGCAAACTTAGATCTTTTCTCTTTTTTCGAACTCTTCAATGCGCTAAATATCTTGCACAATACACAATACTTGGCATTTATATAATACTTGAATATTCACATCTGTAAACTTCTTCAACAGGCACACAGCAAACTTCGAGCAATTTGAAGCCACTACAACTGTCCAGGGTCCAGCTGCTGGCAGGAAATTGATTACACCGACACAGTAAATTAAGCAGACATTATCTGTGGCTTAAGTGTGACCCTCAACTTCAACGAACAGACACAAGCAGCACTCAGACGCTACGATTTCGCAAAACTAACAAATGTGTGCATTAAGAGGAAAAGTTGAATTTTCAGCTTAACCCTTGACAGCAAAACTAATTTTAAACTGGCGGCCGCAAATCAGCAAACTACATAAATTCCAGAATCATACGGGCAGAAAGATTGTGAGGGAGTAAATGGAGAAGGTGGAGTGTGTAGGGTGACAA